CTCCCACTACCCCCCCACCCCCTGCGCCCCATGCCCTCTCCAATGGGCAGACTGCCCCAGTCTCAGACAAGGTGCTGCAGGGTAGAGGCCCTGGACTGCAGCTGCATGGATAGAACCACACACATGGCCCCCTCACCTGTCGAGCAGGTGCTCCAGACCAACTGGAGCTGAGCAGGCACTTCCGCTGCCCAAGGGCCCCTAAAAGAGGCCGCATAGCCGGACAGCACGAAAATGACCTAAGTGGGGTCCAGAGAGTGGGGGAAGGGCACGTGCCAACCAAATGATGCCAGGGGTGCCTTGTTCCCATGGAGAGCCAGGCTTCTGGCACCTTCCACATGTCCTCCACAGGGGGCTGGGCAGGCAGGCGAGGGGAGAGGAAGGCAGGAGACAGGAAGGGAGGGCAGGGTGCATCTGGCCCTGGGTAGGGCGTTTCTGGAAGGTTCTAGCTCCAGTGTGAATGGAGACACAAACATCTCTAAAACGTGGGCAACACAGCAAAGTCCCCTCCCCAACCCCGTGGACAGTCCATCAAGAGGGAGCCTCAAGCCACCCTCTCCTCATCTGCAGAATGAGGAATCGCCTGGATTTCCCCTTTCCCATCAACTAAGAGAACCCAGCGCCCATCTGTCTGTCTGTCCTACTGCAGGGCTGCTGGAGGCCACAGGCACTCATACTCCAGGAGGATCGCCAGAGAGACCAGGACCTGCATTCACACCTTCACCGGGGAACACCCTGGGGACCGCATGCCGCAGGACAAGCCCAGGTTGGCGTGCTCTGCACACGTGGCAGCTGCAATGGGCCAGCAGAGGAGCCGCACTGGAGTGAGCCCGGGCGTCTGCTGTGCCTGGGATGGCCAGGAAAGGAAGCCGACGGGACAACGGCAACAGTACAGCGACGCTACAATACAGCCTCCGTGGGGTGTGTTTCCTGAGAAGGCGGGGGCCTGGGCAGTGCTGCAGGACATAAGGTCAGACAGGACGCCAGGGGTGCAGACCCTATGATGTCCGCAGTGCTGCTTACGCCAGGTCCACATACACACCAATGGCCCTTTCGGGGAACAGCAGATGTGCCCCTTACACCCAACAGAAGATGTCTCAGGCCTCTGGGAAGAAAACCAAAGCCACACCATGGCCTGAGCACTATGAAGACAGGGACAAACAGGGAAGCTGCACCGTGCCCGGGACAGGATGCTGAGCACGGTGATGCTCCCCACAGTCCGTACTCCCTGAGTTCTCTAAACACTCACTCTGCCATCTACACGCTCTGTACCTCACCCTGAACACGCTCTCTGTATGCTCCCTGTACACACTGAACACGCTCTATGCACTCACTGTATACCCTGAACACGCTCTCTGGACACTCACCTTACACCCTGAACACACTCTCTGTACACTCACCGTACACCCTGAACACGCTCTCTATAAACTCACCTTACACCCTCAACACACTCTAAACACTCACTTTACACCCTGAACATGCTCTATACACTTGCCGTACACCCTGAACACACTCTATACACTCACCTTACACCCTGAACACGCTCTCTATAAACTCACCTTACACCCTCAACACACTCTATACACTCGCTGTACACACTGAACACACTCTCTGTATGCTCACTGTACACCCTGAACACGCTCTATACACTCACTGTACACCCTGAACACGCTCTATACACTTGCCGTACACCCTGAACACACTCTATACACTCACCTTACACCCTGAACAAGCTCTCTATAAACTCACCTTACACCCTAAACACGCTCTCTATAAATTCACCTTACACCCTCAACACACTCTATACACTCACTTTATACCCTGAACACACTCTCTATACACTTGCCGTACACCCTGAACACACTCTCTATACACTCACCTTACACCCTGAACACGCTCTCTATAAACTCACCTTACACCCTCAACACACTCTATACACTCACTTTACACCCTGAACACGCTCTCTGTACACTCACTATATGCCCTGAACACACTCTCTGAACACTCAATGTACACCCTGAACACGCTATCTGTACACGCACCATACACCCTGAACACGCTCTCTGTACACTCACTATACGCCCTGAACACACACTCTGTACACCCTGAACACGCTCTATACACTCACTGTACATCTTGACACATTCTATATGTTTCCCATACACTCACTGTACACCCTCGGTGAGCGCTCTATGTTCTCTATACACTCTGGACATTTCCTACACCCTCTACACATTCACAGTGTTTCTCTGGGAGACTGAAGAAACTGGTGGTCCTGTTGGTGTGGAGCACAAAGGGCTGGAGCAGCCCAGACCATACCCACAAGAAAAGGTGACAAGGAACTTGTGACCCTGGAAGGGCAAGCAGGGCGTGGCACAGTGGCTGCGAGCAGGAGCCTGGTGGCAGTGACATGGTGGCAGTCAGAGGCACAGGGAGGATGACTGGCCATGCACCCACTGGAGAGGGCAGAGTGGACCCTGTACTGGGGGAGAGATGCAGGCGGTGGGGTCCCAAGACCCAGGGGATGTGGTGGCAGGTGGAACACATGTATCCAGTGACCTGTGCACACTGGGACACGCGCCATTGGGGACACCTTCTGGGAGACGGGCATAAACACACAGGTAAAGTCTAGGTCCTGAGCCCTGTTGACCTCATGAGGTTGGGGCCAGAGGACTCCTGGAGTCAGACCCGTGACACGCCCTGAGCAGGTGTGGAGCCCACCAGAAGAAGGTGGGCATGGAGGGTAGGGCTCAGCAAGGGATGTGAGGAGAGGTGGGCCACCAGGGCTCCAAGGACCCAGCCAAGCCAACACCCAGGACACCAGGCCAAGGTGAGGAGGAGGGGCCAAGCAAGAGGCAGGACAGGCCAGGACCCTGAGTCGCCTGGGACAAAAGAGGGGTCCCAGCCCCCACCCCACCCCCAGGTCCGAGAGAGGGAAGCAGACCCCGGGGCTGGCGGGAAAGGAGGGTGCAGAGGGCCCGGCACCCAGCGCTGTGGCTGAGCCAGGGCAGAGCGTGGGGCTCAGCTTACCTCCTTCCAAGGCGGACTGCTCCAGTAGGCGCATCACCTGCCTGCTCAGCAGCTTGGGACTCAGCATCTCCAGCTTGGTTGCCGTCACCTGCGGGAACTTCCTGGGAGAGAGCCCACTGCTGTCCAGCTGGCTGCACCATCAGGCCGAGTGTGCTCTCTCCAGCGGCAAAGCCATCCCTAACACACACTGTGACTCGGCCGGCCACCGTCGCATGCAGCCATGCTAACCCCCTTCCTGCCCCGCAGGGGCCAACACCATGGCCAGCGCTGGTTTTTCAACCAATTTGAACAGGCGCTGGGTGTCCCCAGGGCCCCAAGTCCTCCCTTGCATCTCTCCTGTCCTCCTCTGATGGCCTCAGAGGAATATCAGAGTTTGCTGGTTCTGACATCTCATGTGCAGTGGGGGGGACACAACGCCTGTTCTGCCTGACTGTGTCTGCCAGCTCCACCCACGTAGCATGCATGGGGATGGCCTTTCTTGTTTGTTTATAAATCATTTTATTGGGGGCGGTACAACTCTTATCACAACCCATACAGCAATTGAATCAGGCATGTTTGTACATATGTTGCCCTCATTCTTTTCTAGACATGTACAGTACTTTCTTTTGAAAACCTAATCTTTGAAAACAATCAAAATGCAGGGGAAAGTGCAGACGCTGCCCCACACACTGTGCTGATCCATCGCCGCTGATGTGGTGTGCACTCGGTGGTTCGCATCTCTTTGCTACTGGGCTAACACTGCAATAAGCGTGTAGGTGTAAGTATCAGCCCACATTCCTGCTCTAAATGGCCCTGTGGATAGAGCCGGGCGGTGAGGGGCGGGGGGGGGGGGGGGGGGCGTGGAGCGGGAGGGAAGGGGAGCTGGATCACATGGAAGTTGTTGGACATTGGAGGGCCCATCACAGTGTCCACGGCCGCAGTACCACATTCCAGGGTCTCCCACAGGGTGGGAATGTCCAGTCTTGCCTGTCTCAGCTCATCGTTTTCCGTTGTTTCTTGTAGTAGCTAGGCTGCTGCCAACTCTCAGAGACGCTACACACAGCAGCACGAACCTCGCCCCGTCCCATCCCAAGTCTGAGCCCATTGTGTCCACCCATCTAATGGAGGGCCTTCCTCCTCTTTGCTGATCTCCTTTGGCAAGCATGGTGTCCTCGGAGCGCGGCCAAAGCACGGCTGCCCTTCATCTAGTCCAGGCCCGCAGATTACGTGCATGGCACACAACTGGGTAAGTCCGGTGAAAGAATCTAGCCCTGACCCCAACCTTTCCTGATTCTAAAGCATGCACTCTCTCCTGGCTCCGTCTGAACAGGCTCTGCAGGAGCACCACCCAGTGCTCTAAGGGGTCAGTGACCCTAAGAGAGGTATAAAAAGATAAAAGTATATATCAAGAAAAATGGCTCATGTAGTCATCGGAGTGGGTGAGTTCAGTCTGGTTCAAGTCTATGGGTCAGATGTCCAGCTGGAGGCTCTTCCTGATGAAGGGCCAGGAAGCAGCAGGAAAACCACAGGCTGGTGGATGCCAGCAGCTCAGGACTGTGGCTGGCAGAGTGGCACAGATGCAAGGTTGGCAGGCTCTGATGGCTCCTATGGTGGGAGGGCACTGCAGCAGGACACTGAGCATCCAGGGCCAGTGGGAGGGATGGCCAGCAGTTAGCTCTAGGACTGAAGATGGGTGTGACAGATGCAGGGTCAGCATGGAAAATGAACCTCTCTGCAGCCCCTATGTAAATATCAAGTAGGCCACGCCCCCAAGGAGACCCCAGACCAAGAACAGTCTAAGAAGAAGGAACTAGCTGTCGACTTGGGAGGAATTAGCAGCTGGCCACGTGATGCACAGGGTGGAAACACTGTCAGGTAACAGGCCTGCTGAACAAAGGCAGGACGCTGCCCGAGGTGGCGCCAGAAGACGAGCCCCTCGGGTCAGAAGGCACTCAGGATGTGACTGCGGAAGAGCTGCCTCCTCAAAGCAGGGTCCACCATCATGTCCGCCATGGAGGAAAGCCTTGGGGACCTTAAATTCCTGATGGGGTGACTCAAACAGAGAAGAAACAGCTGCAGACGTCCACTAATGATCACAGCCTGGAATGAACAAAGCAGGCATCTAGGAAGACTGGAAAGAGTCTCGTCAAAAGTGAACGAGACGCAGCAAGATAAATGTCCTAGTTGTCAGCAAGCTACTGGCCATGCTGGATGAGAAAATCCTATTGCTGACAATGCTGGAAAGACAAGATCAAGAGGAAGGGCCTGCCTTGTCATCCACAAGGACGTTTCAAGACTCATCTTGAGTACATGCTGTCGGTGACAGGACTATTTCTACCTGCATTCAAGGAAATCCCAATCAACACAACTGTTATTCAAATGTATGCACCAGCCACTAAAGCTAGTGAAGAAGAAACGATGGAATTCTACCAGCTTCTTCAGTGTGAACTTGACCTGCAACTGGCACGCACGGATCACCCGGGGACTGAAGAGCAAAGAGGAGCACGAGTGGGGCGATACGGGCTTGGTGATGGAAACAAAGCCAGAGAGCCCATGATGGAATTTTGCAAGACCAGCGACTTGTTCATAGCAAACACCTCTTACCCGTGGACTTTTCCAGAGAGAACACACAGAAAGAAAACTGACCACATCGGTGGGAAGAACCATGGAAAAGCTCAATATCAGCAGCTAAAACCACACTAGGGGCCGCCTGTGGAAGTGACCATCCGTTATTCGTATGTCAGTTCAGGTAAAGATGACCCAAATCCTCACAACTGGATCAACAGGTAACATCATGATCGATGGGGTTGAAGCGGTCAAGGATTCACAATCGATGCTCGTGGAAGCAGCAGCCAAGGGATCAAAAGACACACTGCATCAGGTAACCCTGCTGCACAAGCCCTCTCTAAAGCACCGATGAGCCCGATGTCGCCTTGAGGGCTGCAGCACGCCCGACAAGGACGACGAGGCTCTGTCTAATATACTTCAGGCATGTTGTCAGGAGAGACCAGTCCCTGGAGAAGGACATCATGTTTGGTAAAGTAGAGGGACAGGGAAAACAAGGAAGGCCCTCAAGGAGATGGCCGGACACTGTGGCGGCAACAATGAGGACGGTGCAGGACTGGGCAGCGTTTGGTTCTGCTGCGCATGAGGACAATACAGATCAGAACTGACTTGGTGTCATCTAACACCAAGCTTCCGGCTGAAGCTAAAGAAGATTAAAACAAGTGCACGAGAGCCAAAAAGGAGACCCCGAGTATATCCCACCTAAACTTCAAGAACATTTCAGTCACAGCTTTGATGCACCGCACACTGATAACGGAAGACCTGCTGAGCTGTGGGAGGTAGCGAGCACATCACTCATGAAGAAAGGAACAGGTCACCAACGAGATGTCAAGGATTGTCTTGCTGGGATCCACAATCAAGGCTCATGGAAGCAGCAGTCAAGAGACCAAAGGATGCACTGCACCGGGTCAATCGGCTGCCCAAGCCCTCTTTGGAGTGTTGAAGGATGAGGAAGTTCCCTGAGCACTAAGGTGTGCCTGACCCAAGCCATGGCCTTTTCAATCACCTCATGCCTGTGAATGTTGGACATTGAATTAAGACTGGAGAAAAATTGATGGATGTAATGACGATTTTGGCAAAGAACATGGAAAGTACCGTAGACTGCCAAAAGGACAAGCAAATCGGTCTGGCAAGAAGTCCAGCCAGGATGGCGAGAATTTGTTTCACGTACTTTGGACATGTTGTCAGGAGAGAACAGTCCCCGGCGACATCATGCTTGGTGAAGTAGAGGGCCTGAGAAAGAGGAGGAGACCCTGGACACAATGAGTTGGCACTGTGTCTGCAGCAGTGGGTTCGAGCATCAGGGCAGCTGTGAGCACGCAGGACAAGCCACACTTGGTCCTGCTGCACATCGGGTCCCTCAGAGTCAGGTCCGACCACCACATCATCAACAGAAGGAGGGTGACTGCTTGGCTTGCAGCAGGTCCTATCATGGGGTTGACTGCATTTGATTCGACTCAACGACGGGGGAGGCCGTGACTGGCAAGCCACTGAGAATCCTGGCCCAGCTCCATTGACAGAAAACCTAGCATCCTTGGTTCCTCAACCTCTTGGAAATCAGGCTGGGCTTCCTGGCAATTCCTTGTCAATGTTCTGCTGCAATTGTTCTTGAGTTACCTTCAGCAAAACCTGGCTTGTCTGTGATGGTAAGTCCTGGTGAATGATTCTGTTGGCGCACCCGTCTTTGGCATCGGTGTGGTAGCTGTCTCCCAGGTGTCCAGGAAAGTGAGCCCACAGGCAAGCAGCCCACCCAAGGCCATGGTTGCACACCTTTGTTGGGGCTGCTCGCTGGTCTCCCACCCAGTCCTGGAGCCTTCAGTTTTCACGGGTGCTCTTGGCATGGCGTGGACCCCTCCTTGACTGTCCCTAGCTCATGGCCATGTGCTAGCCCTTGAAGGGCTGGATGTTGGCCGATCCTTTTTGGTGCATGAGTCTGGGCATGCCTTCCATCGTCTCTTGATGTCTCAATGTTGTAACTCGGGGCCTGAATGGTTTCTGCAGTTCTTTAACTTGACAGCCACCCTGTGAGCATAAAGTGTGTCTCTTGGCATTTGGGTTTGAATTTCCTGGTGGCTAACCACACTGAGCATCTTTCCACGTGCTTGCTGGTCATCCCCTTTTCTGTTTTGAGGCATCTGTCCACTTGGTGGGCTACCCATTGGTGATTGGGTTAGTCTTTTTGTTCCCAGGCTGTGACAGTTCTTTATGTGTTCTGCAGACTAAGCCCTTATCAGCTATATGGCTTCCAACATTTTCTCCCATGATATAAGTTGTCTCTTCACTCTTGATAAAGTTCCTTGATGTGCCGAAGTTTAAATGTCTGGAGAAGTCCGGTCTATTTTCACTTCTGTTGCTAGTGAGTTTGGCATCATTTCTAAGAGCTCATCTTTGAAAACGCAGTGCTCCTGGTTTCTGTTCTGTGATCCATCTGAAGCTACTTTCTGTGGATAATTATGAGGTGGATCGGCTGGAGCAGAGTCCGTTGTCACAGCACCATTCTTCAAAGAGAGGAGTCCTTTCTCACTGAATGGATTAACACCCTTGTTGAAAGTCAGTTGACCCTAACTGTCTGTATGTATTTCTGGACTCTCAACTCTATTCCTTTGGTCTACAGTTAATACATTTAAGTATTTTTACTTTCATCAATGTCATGCACACAGAGTTTAATACTGAGACAAGCGTCTGCAGTTGGGGAGAATGCTGCCTCTGTGGCCCTGCTCTGGAGCCGGCACCTCTTGCTATGGCCTGATAGGTCTCTCTGCTTCCAAACAAACCTGGCATCTCCTGGTTACTCTGGCTCAGCACCTCTACTGACAGCTAACATGCAAGGCACCCACCTGACCTCCCCAAAGACTCACATAAAAGTTATCAGCGAAACAAGGGCGTCCTCAGCCCCACACAGCCTGGTCCAGTGTCCCCAGAGGTCAAGGAGAAGACCTGGGTCACACTGCTCCTCAGAAAGCCGTTCTCAGGGCCCTGCTGCCAGCCTGGCCACCCTGGTGTGAGACACTATTATCTCGACACAGACACATGCACACACTCACTCCCTTTATAGACTAAGGCACTCTCTTCTACATTGGGTCCCCTGAGAACTTTCGTCATGAATAAAGTCTGAATCTTATGAAGGGTTTTCTTTGCATCTACAGGCAAGATGACATAGCTTTTATTATCTTGTCAGTATGGTAGATGTAAAGGATTTATTTTTTATATTAAATCAGCATTGAGTTTCTGAAATAAATTCCATTTGATCAGGGTGTATTAACCTTTTACTATATTATTTTAAATTCATAATGTATTTAGTATTTTTAGATCTATATTCATGAGACATTAGAATTTAACTTTCCTTTATCATGACATGTCTTTTAAGTTTTGGTATCAGGGTTCAAGCTGGCCAAATAAAACAAGTTGAAATGTGTCTTTCTAAAATATTTTCTGGAAGAGTTTGTGTAAGTTTGGCAAATTTTTTTTCTAAAATGTTTGAAAGAATTCATCAGTGATGCAATCTGGGTCTAAATTCTCTTTGTGACACAAAAAGTTTAAACTCTGAGTTCAATTTCTTTAATAAGACTATTCAAATTATCTGCTTTACCTATAATCAGTTTATTCAATAAGACTATTCAAATTATCTGTCTTACCTATGATCAGTTTTAGTAAATTGTCTTCAAATATTTGGTCTATTTCATTTAAATTGTCAAATATATATGCATCAAGTTGTAGAAGACCTCCTCTTATTACCAGCTGAAGTCTGTAGGACTTGTAGTGATGTCCCTTGTAATCACTATAGCCCCAGAACTCTTCCTAATGAAATAATTTGTTTTGGTTTGTTTTTAATAATTTGTATATTTTTATTTCTTTCTCTCTGAGCCTCCTGGATCACCTGTACCTGAATTAGTTATTATATTGAGATCGTAAGTCTGTGCCTACCAGTCTGATTCTACCAGTGTTTATTATTTATTATTAATGACTTATTAGCTAGTGCGGTATAGAAGAACTTTCCTTCACTACAAAAGCATCACTACAGACTCACGAGTTAAAAAAGAAAAATGAAAAATCAAGCACTGTGCTCCACTATAGTCATCCCTATGATTCTCGGTCATTTCTACACAGAGCCACTGTTCCTGCCGGGGTGCAGGGCGCTTAGAAACCAGGCTTTGGGTGCTGGGTAGGCCCCTGGCTGGGGTGTCATTGATTCTCAGCTATGGAACTGGACAGTATTTGGATATCTCTGAGTAAATCTAACACCACAAGGTCTTCGGTTCCTTCCCACTTTCCATATACCATGTCTGTCTCTTCTTCAGAGTAGAGACCAAAGTGCCCTTCTCTACCGAGGCAGTCATTCGTCTGCTTTCTGGGCTTTTTAACATGGAATTAACGCATAGCTTGTTTGTGTTTTGAGTAGAATAAAAGCAACCACACAGCTATGCAGCCAGAGCAAGCCTCAGCTCACGTTGACCCACAAGAGGGAAATGGGGCAGGTAGAATCAGCCTCAGTCAAGGGGTGAGGACACAGGTTTGGGCGGACAATGACCTGCCCCCACTTCTAGGAGGGAGTCGGCCCAGTGGATGTGTGGTCACAATGGTCAGCTGGCCTCTGAGCACTGGCTTACCTGTGCCACAGTGACCAGGCCTCATGGGAGGCCCCTGTCCTCCAATTACTGCCCCCCACCCACATGTAGACCAGGCACGCTTGTCTACACACACACACACACACCACTCTCTCCCCTGACACACAGGTATACAGTCACATGTACACACCCTCGCAAAGGCATGCAGGCACACGGAGCCTTCACGAGCCCCCTCTGGCTCCCGTCAGCTCGGGCCTTGCCTGTGCCCGCTGTCACAGAGCTCTCAGGGCAGGCTGCAGTGAGGCTCACAGCAAAGGAACCTGGGTGCAGTCTGATGGGGGAGGGGCTTTTGCTTCTAGGATTAGCGCTGCCTCTCCTCCTCCCAGGAGGCAGCAGGCTCCAGCCTCCCCAGGCCCTGCTCCTGAGGGGCCCCTAGCTGGCCCCTATCTCATGGCAGTGCCTCTGGGGTTCATGAGCAGGGCCACACGTGGGCCTTGCAGCCAGGGCCCCGCCCACCCTGCTGGGGCCTCACCGTGCAACCTTGTGGATGCTGAAGCCGGGTCGGCACCAGGAGTCCAGGAGCACCAGCAGTTGCCTCTGCAGCTCCGGGAAGCCACCCACGTAGCGCTCCACCAGGCTGGTCTTGTTTTGCAGCAGCAGCGGGATGGCCATCTGCAGTGGGCACACAGGCCCCCAGGGGTCACGGTCCCATAGACAAGCTGCAGGTGGCCCCTCTCAGCCTGTCCTCTTCAGGGAAGGGGCTGGGTGCGTCTGCATGGCTCCCTGCCAGCAGGTGTTCTGACCTGATGCCCCAGATGTGTGGGTACACTCACAGGGTCTGTCCACCTCCACTTGGGGGCCCCTCCCCAGGCCCTGCCATTCTGTGTGGGGACATCCAGGTGGCCTCTGGAGAGGAGTGGGATTCAGGGCAGGTGAATCTCAGTGGGCAGCTTCCCCAAAGGGCCAGGGAGCTCTACTGCCCCAAGCCCACGGCACTCTGGGTGCCCCCCCCCCTGAGTGCCACCCCCCTCCTCCCCCGCCCCAGCTGTAGAGACCGAGGACACCTACCTTCTCCAAGTCCAGTTCCGGCTGCAGCTGGAGCTTCATGCTGAGCAGGGCAGACTGGCAGAGACAAGGGAGCGGCTGCCCTGGCACTGGGGTCACCTCCCCCACCCCCCGGAGTGGACCTTTGTCAGGAGGACACTGAGAGGACTGCCCCCACCAGGGAGGGGCAGGTATCCCCTCTGGGAGGCTCTGGGAGTCTCTATACCACCTGGGCCAGAGACGGGGGAAGGGCTGACCACTGCAGGGGCCATTTTGTGGGCCCAATGGACAAACATGGGTGTGGCAGTGGGGGCAGGGAGGTGGTCAGTGTGAGGGGTGGGCAGAGGTCCTTCCTGACCTCAAACCAACAACAGAGCAAGCCACTAGCACCAGGGGAGGGGGAAGGGGGTCAGAGCGCTGAGGGAGGGGGGATGTCACAGCCCTGGGGGAGGGGTTATGGTAGGGGAAGCATCACAGCATGGAGCAGCACTGAGGAGGGTTGGGGAGAGGGGTCACAGCCCAAGGGAGCGGAGTGGGTCAAAGTGCTGGGGGAGGGAGGAGGTCAGAGTGCTCAACAGCAGGGCCTTGCACGGCCCACAGTCCACCTCGGGCTAAGCCTGTGGCCGTGCAGGCACGTGGCACGTACACCATCAGTATTTCCCGTGTGCCAGGCCCATGGGCACAAAAATAACATGCAGGCCCACCCCTCCCGTGGCCTGGGAAAAGTCCCACCCTGTGGCCGTCCAGGGTAGGAGCCCAGAGGTTGGGCCTCTCCTGCAGGGCTGCTGTCCCGGCGCCTCCGGCACCTGGCCGGCGTCCAGGAGTCCAGCTCCAGCTAGTGTGGCCGGCCGGGCGGCAGGGTTTGGCTGGATCAGAGGCTCAGATGCTGGGTGTGGGGAGCCCTCCCCAGGGAGCCCTACTTCTGAGGGTCTCCTACTCTAGGACCTTGACCCCAGGGCCCCAGTGGCCTCCCACCTGCTCTTCACCTCTGCCGGCTCAGGCCCCTCAGTGCTCCCCACCCCCACAACCTGGCTGTCCTGCAGCCTAGCACAGCCTTAGCCACAGTGGGCCTCTGTGTCCACGCAGGAGGCTGGGGTGGGGAGTGGAGTGCGGGGCAGGCTGTGCCTGGAACCCCCACCCCAACGCAGCTCAGGTAAGAAGGGAATTCTCACTACACCCTCACTCCGCACTGAGAAACAAGGGTCCTGAGGGTGACCCAACACGTCCTCCTCATCACCCTGACTTCCTTCAAGGCACGGACCAGCCACAGCCCAGCGAGGGTTCCCCACGCCCACATCTGCCCCTGCCCTGAAACCTCTGCATGGGGCAGCCTAGGGACCCCAGACCCGCTCACGGCAGTGCCCACCCCCGCCCTGGCCATCTGGCTGTCACTGCCTGCTTGGACCCGGCCTCTCCCAGTGGAGGCAACCAACCCACTTCCCACGCCTGGTTACTCAGCAGGGCCAGGCAGGCCACCGTGGGCACAGGAGGTCAGGCTGCGGGCAGCTGGGGACCCTGGACCCCTGCTTTGTGAAAAACAACCCAGAAACCTGGTAAGGGCAGGGCTGGGCCAGGGCACTGGCAGTTTACTGTGCCCACCCCGCCCAGCGCAGCCCCCTCCTAGGGTGGAGCCCCCCAGCAGCTCTAGGCCCAGAAAAAGCACTACTGTCTTTCCACCTTGATATGCTGTGTAAGAAATGTAAATAAAATAACCCCTGAGACAAAGGCGAGCATTCACCCCCCGCCGGCCGCCGCCCCTCCACATGAAATATCGTGAGCTGCTAATCCGAGCGGACAGGCCTGAATGCCGCTGGAGCCAGCCCGCTGCACCGCCCGCCGGGCAGCCCACAGACAATGGCCCCTGCACGGGCCGCTGTGGGACAAGGGCCCCCTTTGTGTCTGGGCTGCCTGGGAGCGGGGCGGGGGCGCATTCAGCCACTCTGTGAAAGCCTGGCGTGTAACTCAAGACTGAGGGAAACCCGAACCGCCAGCCCCTGCGCCATGGCTGGGCCAGCGCCCCAAAAGCCTCCCCCCAACCCCCCACCGTCACGCCCACCCGCCCCCTGCAACCTGGCACTACCCACACCACAGCAGACTCCGCCAGGCCAGGCCAGCTTACATCCAACCCATCACCTGGCCCCGTAGCCCCCATCCCCAGCCAAGTACCAGTGCCCTACAGATGGAGGGGCAGTGGTGGTGTCATGCCCTCACCCCTAGGGCCCACCCAGACTCAGGTGCTCCCCACCTCCACCCTCTCACTGCATGCCATTATATCCTTGTAGTGCCCTTCACCCCGTGGGGGGCAGGGGAAGTCCCTCCATATCCCCCATCTCCTATCTTGGCTCCCACAGCTTCTGGGATGGGCTCAGAGGGTACCCCAGGGTGGGAGGTCAGAGGTGGCGGCCAGCTGTGAGCCACTGAGGCCTGGCCTCTCCATGTCCAGGAGGCCTTCTTTGGGGCAAGGAAGAGGCCCCCATAGAGGGAGGGCCTTCTGGTAGTCCACCCTTGGACACTGATGACCATAGGGCCCAAGACAGGCAAGGGGTGGGACACCTCCCAGCTGGCACCCCCAGAGGTTCTTCACCATGGCCACTGGGGGCACCTGCACTCATTGGACCTACTGACTGGCTCGTGCTGTAGGTCCCAGTGCCCCTCCCTACTCCCTACGGGCCCGCCGTGCCTGGCCAAGCCTAGAAGACCCCGAGTCTGTGCCCAACTAGACCACAGTACGCCTCGCACACTGACGCTGAGCAGGAGGGCCTGTGCCTGCAGACACGGTGCAGCCTCTGTATTGGCACAGGGCAGACCCTGAGACCCTGGCCACTGTCCACAGAAGTGACCCATATGCCAAACCGGGCCACTGCACTAAGCTAACACCAGAGCAGGCCATAGTGTCCCCGCCCTCCCCATGCTGCCAGGCCACTGAGCACTCAGAAACCACCATGGTCACTGCTGGTCCAGCCAGTCCCAGCAACCAGGGTCCTCTGAACCAACTGATAGCAGGGCTCAGTGTCAGCGGAGTGGGCCCTCCTGGGGTGAGGCAGGGGTGGCAGGGGCAGGTGGCCATGGCAGGAGACTCAAGACCAGGCTAGGTGTGAGGGCCGAGGTACCAGCGAACAGGGAGTCCTGAGACCACTAGGTGTAAGCCCACTGTAGATCCTCAGCTGGGTCCTGACCCCTTCCCTGCTTGGCCCTGGGGAGGAAGCTGCGGCCTTGTCCCCCTACCTTGCCCTGGTGGGAGTGGCAGGGCTATACCCCTGGGAGAAAATCGGGAGCCACACTCACCTCCTTAAACTTTCCATGGTCATAGAGCCGGTCCACGTGGTCCAGCAGAAGGCTCCGGTCAGCATTCTGTAGCTGGAAGATGCTGACCAGCGGCTCTGTGAGACTGAGGGGGCTCCTAGTGAGGACCCCAAGCACACGGACCTGCAGCTGCTTGAGCTGGGCACTGCCCTGGAGGACGAGGCAGGCAGGGGGAGGCTCTCAAGGCAAGCCCCCACCCCCAGCTCCTGCTGCCCACCCACCCTCAGACAGTCCAGGGACTTGGGCGGGGCAGGCCTGGTGGGAGACATGCAGCATCGGCCCGAGGGGACGCCTAGGGTAAGAGAGCTGGGGGACTCTGTCGGGTCAGGCCCTGAGGGCAAGTGTCCTTGTGCCAGCCCTCTTGGCCCCTGGGCAAGCTGCAGGGGACAGAGGCAGGAGGCCATGACTTGAGAGTGTGGGGCTGAGGGGGCTCACCGGGGCCAGCCCAGGGTACAGCGGCTGTGCCTGCAGCCAGCGTTGCAGCTCACAGGCCACCCAGGCCTGCAGTGAGTGGCCAGCCTGGCCCCTCTCCAGCATGTCCAGGAGTCCTGCGGGCGGGTCGTTGAGGGCAGCAAAGCCCCGCCAGGCTTCCTCCCGGAGCTGTGGAGACCCCCAGGTGGGCACTGAGGCTCACAGCCCAGGCAGCCCCCCGCCCCTGCCCGGCTGGATCTGTGCCCAGAGCAAACTGTTGGGACTCCTCGCTACAAGGGTTCCGCTCTGCTCTACTGCGCCCCAAGCCCCCGGCTGTGGTCACTGTCTGTGACTCATGCCCTGAGAGGGAACTTGTTCCGGGGCAGACATAGCTGCCCTTTGTTCAGACGGCAGCGCAGCATGGACAGTGACCGCTTGACAGGCCACTTGACCTGCTGCTCCACTGTCTGCCACGGGTATGGTCAGGACCCACGGGGTGACCATGGCAAGCCTTCTGTCCCAGCCAGGAAGAAAGGGGAGCAGCGGTCTCTGGCCTCTCACGTAAGCAGGAGCACAGCAAGCTGCGTGCAGGGTGCGCATGACGTCGACCCCGCCCGCTCCCTCGCCTCACCCTGCTGGGTGGACAGCCTGCACCGGCACGTCCATCTCACCACTCAGCCACCTCGCAGGGCGGGCGAAGGAGGGTGTCCCGCGAGGGTGGGAGACGGCGGACCCGCATGCAGCAGACAGCTGTGTCTTCCTGCCTCGGAGCAGCTGGTGCAGTTGAGGCTCGCAGCCCGGTGCTTAACCACCGCACCACTCGTGAGGGGAGTGGTGTCCACAGGGAGACAGGACAGGTCTGCTTCCCAGTGCTCAGGACGGCCCGGAAGTTTCAGGGTGCCCGCCCCCACCTCACTGGCTGAGCCTGGGTCACATGCTCGGCCCTGCACCACAGGACCACAGGAGCTGGCCTGGAGGGGTGGACCTCACTATCCAGGTGAACCCTCCTGGCATCCCAGCCCCACTGACCTGTCCACTCACCAGGCCATGAACCTCAGCCCTCCTCACCTCTCTGGGCCCCCATTGCTCCCGGGCCTTGTTTGTACCCTAGGTGAGCGTGCCTCCCCACATGACCTCAGCCCTGAAGGGCCACAGCATGGGCACAGGCCTTCCCGTCCTGAGGGGACAGCTCCCCGGCTCCCAGAGCATGGGCAGGGCTTCTCCCGGGAGTTCTTGGAGCTTCCACAACTTGTCTTGCTTGGATCCACAATCAATGCTCATGGAAGCAGCAGTCAAGAGATCAAATGAGGAATTGCAGTCGGTAACTGGTGCACAGGACCTCTTTAGAGTATTGAAGAGCAAGGATGCTACTTTGAGGACTAAGGTGCACTTGACCCAAGTCCTGGCATTCGTATGCGTATGAAAGTGGAACACTGAATCCAGAAGACCAAAGAAAAACCCACACATGTAGGCGGCCGAACGGGAGGGCACTGAAAGTCCCGTGACTGTTCAAAGCACAAACTGGCCTGCGGAGGAAGAAGTAAGACCAGCGTGTTCCTTAGAGACAAGGACGGCGAGACTTCGCCTCACACTCTTTGGACGTGTTGTCAGGAGAGACCAGTCCCTGGAGAAGGACACCATGCTCGGTAAAGTGGAGGACTGACGCAGTGGCTGTGTCCAGGGGCGCAGGCGTGGGAACGAGTGTGAGATGGCGCAGGACCATGCGGTGATTCGCTCTGTTCGGTACAGGGTCGCTATGGGTTGGGGGATTTCAATGCCACCTGACAACCACCACCGGACTCAGGCCCAGGAGGGCTCAGGGGAGCAAACAGCACTTCTGCTGCAGCGCTGGCCTGGCTGCTGGGCAGGATGGAGCTCCCTCTGCAGCTGTGGGTGGGGATAGCTGGACCCCTCCAAGGGCAGCCCTCGGGGTAAATGTGGGCCTGGAAAACTCAAGAAATAAAATAAAAGTGTGGAAACGGGCCCCGGCCACCCACGGCTGAGCAGGGGCAGGGGCAGTGTGTTAGTTAATATGGCGCTTCCAGCCCGAGTCTCTATAGCCCCCACCAGGCGACCGTCTCTGGTCTGCTAAGAAGATGCGGGGGAGACCCTATGGATGGGATTTGCTAGTGTGTCATCCTGTGGCTGTGGTCGTCAGGTGGCGCTGGGTCCAACAGAAGGACATACTGTCCGGTCCTGAGCTGTCTTCACAGCCACTCTGACGTGAGAGCCCATCGAGGCAGACACTGTCCACCCGCCTTGTCGGCACAGGCCTTCTCCAGGGGCTGGTCTCTCTTGGCAACACATCAGAATATGTCAACAGCCATCCTGCTGGGGAGAATGAGCCCTCTGAGAGGCAGGGGGCTCTGGGTACCAGCAAGGGCTTGGGCAAAGCACGCCCTTCCCATCCTGCACCTTGTCTGTCTCTCTGCTGGGCCTCTGGGCCTCGGACCTGCTCTCACCAGCTTCCCTGGGGATACAGGGCCTCCACACGGACGGACATCTGAGTGGTGACCTGGGGCTCACCAGCACCCACAGCGGGAGCCATCTCCTTGCACCCCGTGAGGAGCCTCGAGACGGAGCACGGGGGTGGCTGACACCAGGAGCCTATTTAGCACCCATCTTCTTGGGGCCTGTCTTGTATTCATTTTCAAGAGAAACCCACAGGTAACATCGTGATAAATGGAGAACCGCGGGTGAAGGAAGGTATGGGCCGTGGGCTCCATGCAGGGGAGGGGCCTGCCCATCGCTGAAGGTCGCCCTGGTGGCCCACTGGGTTCCGTGCTGGGCTGCTTGAAGGGAACCCGAGGGGCAGTCCTGCTGGTCCTGGACCCAAGGGTAGCAGTTTGCTTTTATGTGACACTTGCGACCTCTGGCCACCAGGGGCAGCGTTCTACCAAGCTGCGCTCACAAGGAACAAGCATGAAACAAGGAGTGGCTGCCCACCCTAGTGGCCAGCTCCCCCAGCGTGGCCGGCTCTCCTGAGTGGCCACCTCCCTTGACTGGCCATAGCCCACCAGGAGGAGGAGCAGACGTCCGCCAGGGTCTGCTGTACACACCAGTGTGTCAGATCATGAACAAACTGAGAGAGAAGTCGACAGGAGGAGGGAGCAGCGTGTGGCAGGGGGTGGGGGTGGGGGCGGGGTGCAGGTCTGAAGAAGCTCAAGGGAGACTGGGACGTTCGTTAGTGCCTGTCCGGAATGAGCTCCAAGAACTAGGCAGCCTAATCCTGCCCTAAGAGCCTACCCAAGCCACTGCCCCCTCGCAGCCACTGCAGCCACGTCCCCTGGCAGGCTAGCTGGACACCGGACAGGCCAGCCCTCCTCTGCTCCCAGGAGCCAGCTCTGGCCAGCAAGACAGGAGCAGAGGTGACACAGTCTCTCCTGGCAGGAGCCCACCTCCCCACCCTAACCCCAGCCAGCACCTGGACTGTTTCCACCACATAACCACGGAGCAAGCCCCAGCAGCCCCGGCCACGCTCCTCCACCCGGCGCAGCGAAGCCAGAGACAAACACCACGGGAAGAAAGCAGGGAGAGGGGTACCCAGACAGCCACCCCCACATGCCTGCGCTAGACAAGGAGAAAGAACGACCCGGTCATGGGCCTACTGTCCTAAGCCCGAAGCAGAGCCACTGGGCAGAGTGGGGCGGGAGAGAGGGGTCACAGAGAGCAAGGCCTGGCTGCAGCAGGGAAAGGACTCTGGCCCCACCCCTCCACCCCGGTCCCCAGCGGGCAGTTTGCGAGCAGCGGCCGCCAACACAGCTTGGGCACAGGCAGGGTAGGGCCACTAGGCACTTGTCTCCTGCAGCACTCAGCGGATGGACCTGCCACAGTCCCCCTATCCTGGGCAGGCCATGTGTGCGGGGGTCCTGTGCCCCCCCGACTCTCTCCCCACCCCCCACATGGCAGAGAAGTCACACCCTCACCTGCTGCTGCTCCTTGGTGGGCCACCGTGCCTGCAGCGCCTGCAGGAGCCAAAGCGGGTCTCGGCCTAGGGGGGGGGCAGGCAGGTGGTGAGGCTCTGCCGAGGTCTGGGGAAGCAGGTCCCACTGCTCCCTGTGGCTGGCTGATGCCCTCCCTGTGGCTAGTGGCCTGCTCTGGCCCTGGTACTCACTGGGTGGGCTTCACCAGCAGCCCGGCCTCACTTTTCAGCCGCACTGGCTGTGGCAAGGAGGGGATGTTGGGCCAACAAGTTCAAGCCCCAGGTAACCATATTAAGGCTACCATGTCAAGTTATAGCCCAGCTCACCCTCAGCATCCACCATACGAGGCCTGTCATATGGTCTCTGCCTGCCCACTCTCCCCTACCTCCCTCCACCTCTTTCCCTAGGGCTACAGCTCCCCCAAAGTCCAACCACTCCCAAAGCCTTCCCGACGACCGCAGCCCCCACAGTCACCACCACAGTGACCACTACAGTGATGGCCACATTTACCACTACAGTCATCACCATAGTCATGGCCACAGTCATCACAGTCACCACCACAACCACCACCAGTCACTGCTACCGTCACCACTACAGTCATGGCCACAGCTGTGTGGCCAATATTGGAGCCCCTTCAGTCCCCTACACCTTGCCTACCTGGTGCCCACCCCGTACTCCCCCCAAGGGCAGAAGGGGCAAAAGCAGTCTCCATATAGGGCCAGGGGCCAGGCGCATGGAAGGGAGCAACCCTTGGGCAGCAGCAAGGAGAGCAGGCGGTCTCCCAGGTATGAGGGAGGAAAGTGTGTGTCACCTTTGGGCTCATTGTCTCCTTTCCCCTGTCTGCACTCCCCGCTCCTTGGGATAGGGCCACAGCTTCCCCCCTGCCCTCTCCACACCCATCCTGTCACAGCAGCTGCAGGTCAGATGGGGGCCAGACCCCCAGAGCAGCCGTGAGCAAGCAAGCAAGGCTGGCTCCGCCAACACAGGACAAAGGGGTGGGTCGTGTCCCCTCCCCGCAGACCCTGCCCCCACTGTGATCATTGGGGACAGAGGGGACCCTCTCTGCCCCGCACACACAGAAACCTGCCACAGAGATGCAGCTCCCTCCAGCTCACTCAGACAGGGAGCCCCAAGCCTGACATTAGGTACACTGCGAGGCCCAGTTTTACAGTTCCCCAGGAGCCAGATGCACAGCAGTGAAATCAGTGAGAACAAGAAGTGTCAGCCCCAGGGACGAATGCAGCAGAAGGCAGGAGCGCAGAGACCAGCACGGTGAGGGGAGAGCTGTCCACTGGAAAGAGGAATTCTGGGAACAGCATCACTGGTCCCGACTGGGTGGCACTGCCCACTGCTCTACCCACATGTCCCAGGTGTGCCATCTCTCTGGGCAGCAGAGGCCCCGCTCCCAAGCACAGCAGGGCCCGCACTCCCAGAGCTTGTTCCTTTTGTGAGGCCCCATGACCCTGTGCACTCTCCATGACGCCCTCACCCATGGTCCCACAAGACCCCAGGAGAAGGCTTTGGAAAGCCTGAGCCGCAGGCAGGGTGTAGGCACTGGGAGGGGTAGGTGCAGGGGGTGTAGGCATGGGTGTGTGCAGGTGTGGGTGGCTGGGTGTAGGTAACTGGGCAAGGTGGGTGTAGATGGCTGTGGATACAGGTGTAGGTATGGGTGACTGGGAATGTGGGTGGGTGGAAGTGGCTGGAGGTGAGAGAGTGGGGCTGGGGGAAGCTGTGGAGGGGTGGAACTGGGGCAGCTGTGTGTGAGAGGGTGGGGCTGGAGGTGTGGCGAGGGGGCGTCGCAGCACCCCTAGCAGCAGGGCCACACTGACGCACATCTCGAACAATCACTGGCTTCCTGTCCATGTGACAGAGAAAAACAGGATGTGGAGAGATGTTTATCTGAGGGAGTAAGATAAGCGAGTTATGTGACATTCTGCAGAGCTGAGGGCCACCCTCCCAAACCAGACCTTCACACTCAAGTGCCCGCTAAGCCCGGAATGCATCCACCGGGGTGATGGGGGGAGGGGCACTCAGAGCCCCATGTCACTGAAAGGGAGAGGTGGCGGCTCAGAGCTAGACGCAGGGGGTCCCAGACTACCCGGCTGAGGCCAGGGCACAGGATCACAGCACCCAGCACTGACAGGGACCCAAGCGTAACTTCACTGTTGAAACCCGCCGCATTCCGTGGAAACCCACTGGGGTAATGCTGACCCCAGCGTGGGGCAGGGAGACAGCAGGCAGGGGTCGGGGGCAGGGGCTGCCCCTTGGACTCAGTGGGCCCTGCAGACATCTGACCTGAGCCCAGCTGTGGGCAGGACAACTTACCTTGCTCCCTGCAGGGGTCACCCCTCCCCAAGCGAGGCTAGGGAGAGAAGGCCCCCATGTGGCCAACAGGAGGGCAAGGGAAGCAAGGAAGGCCTGTGGGGCAACCAGGAGGGGACGGTGGCCTGGGGCGCTCCACTAAAGTGCATCTGCTGCAGAAAGCCAAGTTTTCAGGAGTAAAATATCAGGCAATGCCGCAGTCGGAATATAAAGGGCAAAAAAGAAAAAATAAGGGTTCTTGGGGGGTAGGTTCCTGGGACACAGGGGAGCTGACGTCAAGGAGTTCAAGAAGAAAGATGTTTTGAAACTGACTGTGGTAGTGATTGTACAACACTGCTTGACGTGATGAACTGTGCAGTGGTGGGACAGGATGGGATGCACT